CTCTCAGAGGCTCTGGGCGATTGACCAGGTTTCACAAAGCCGGGAAGGGATGGACAAGGGAACTTCGAAAAGTTCGTAGGAAAATTGCATTATCTTTTGATTCCATTTGTCCACACTTTTTGAAGCCCCCTCATCAGAAGTCCAGAAAAGGGTCTGACACTAATTCACCAGGGTGAGCCCCACAGAAAGCCAACTCTGAAGGTGGGCAGAGCCCAGCTGGTTGGCCGAGGGGTGAGTAGCCCCAGGCCAGCCATTCGGGGCCACGATCTTCACCCACCAGGTGAAGGTCGTTGGGACAGGCTGCAGTGGGCAGAGGAAGGGCTGACCTGAGGCTGGTCAACTGTGGACAGGCAGCTCTGAAAGGAAGAAACTGAGCAACCCTTTGAATAAGATATGGCTTTCGGTCCAGCCCCAGAGCTTACCTCCGCCCTACATAGACGGCTTTCTCCTCCCCGCTCCGCAGCTCCGTGCTTCTGAGCATCATTTTCCTAAGCCAGGGGTACAAATCGTAGTTACCATTCAACTGCTAACCTAAAGGGTAGTTGTTTGAGACCACTCAAGAGCACCAATAGAAGAAAGGCCTGGTGACCCTGGAGACCCTGGGAGGCAGTTAGCTCTACTCCATAACACACGGGGTCACCATGAATCAGTTGACTGGGCAGCAGCAGGCAGTAGTGGTAGTGACCTGGCTCCAGGGCAGGCAGAAACCGTCAGCTTCAGTGACCCCCAGCTCCATGGCCTTCTCCAGGGAAGACTCACAGACTCGGCTAGAATCCTCTCCGTGGAAATGGCTTTGTCCAAACACGGCTGCCAGAGCAGGTGTCCAGCTCTGCTGAGTCCCAAGGACCAGCGGGTGGCAGGGGTGTCTCCTTGGTGACACCAGCAAGTCCCCTGAGAGCAGGGGTCAAATGTAAATATTTTGATTGACCCTTCCCTTGAAATGTGGCAAAACTCAAATGCTTGAAGGGAAACTCACCATGAGGGAGGAACGGAATCACCAAATCAAAGGTCAAACCGCTTTGCCACGTGAACAAGCATCCCTGGTTTCTGTAATGTGCTTAGGGTCTGTGAGCTGTATGTTCTTAGAACGAAACATGGCGATACAGTCCAAAGACGGGTCAGGGAAAGGCAGTGATGTATGTTTTCCTTGTTAAATATACATATATACGTAAATATACATATAATCTCCCCAAGCCACACTTGGGAGCGATTGACTGCTAGGGAGTGAGGGGTTGACGGACTGTGGCTAAGAGCGAGCTGTTGGATGCAAATGGAGAAGGGAGCCCTGACCTCACCCTGTGGTGTGTATGTGTGCATGCACGTGTGTTTAAATGTACACATGGTTTGTGTGGCTGTGTATCTGCAAATGTGTTTGTAATATGTGAGGATAGGGGTTGAATGCGTGTGCATGTTAATGTGTTTTATATAGATGTGAAAGAACATATCTGTATCGATGTGCATGCATCTAGTTGCATGGATGTTGGCACATGTTCACATGTAGGAGTTGTGTAATATGTAGATGTTTCTGCATGTGTGTTTGTACTTTGAGTACTTGGGAATGTGTCCGTCTTACATAGCTGTGAGCACATGTATTTACAAGTGTACATTTGTGTTTGTATATGTAGGTATGGGTATGAATATATGTATGTGTACTTGTGCAAATGTATATCTATATGTATGTATATTGTGTGTGCTTGTGTCCAGGAAGGGGCAAAGGCCTGAGGAATCAGTTGACTTGTGAGAAGGTACCAGTGGTAGTTACATAATCTGGTGTCAACTTGACTATTAAGAGTGAAAAGGTAGTTTAGCCTGTCAATCAGACCGTAGCTTGATGACCTTATTTGAAGGTGCTTGAGCGATAAATAGCTCACCGGAGGCCAGACCCACGCTCTCTGCTACACATTCCTGTTGACAAGCCACAAGGAGCTACACTGATAGAGCCAGAGCCCTGAAGCTGTAGGAGCCACATGGAGACCCACAGCAGTGCTCAGATGCTTCCCGCCACTGGATCCACAACTTTCCACCCACTGCCCTGTAATCTTCCTGCATTCAATGTCATTGCATGGCGGCGTGAGTCTGAAGAGGAATGTATAGACTTGTATCAGACATACGGGCTAGTATCAGACTTATGGACTCGATCTGGACAGGGCTAGTGTGTTTTCTTAAGATACAATTACTCTTTGATATAAAGTTCTTTATCAGATATATATGAACATCTCTGGATCTTTCTCTAGTCAACCAGACTAATACGTACCTGTGGAGACGCCTGGTCCCCGAAGTTCAGCCTGAGGCTGTTTCACCACTTCGCCCTTGCTTGCTGGGTCAACCCAGGAGCATAGCCCTCTGAAGCCACGCTCCTTCTGGCTTGCTAGCCTGGGACCGTGTGCTCAGCAGTGCCGCTGACTCCAGGCCGCTAGATGTGAGACTGGAAGCTTCTCCACTTCCCAAGAGCCTTTCACACCATCAGCCTCCAAGGGGTTCCATTCACTATTGGGCCAAATTTGCGTTCTTAGTAGGGTGTGCTATGAAGAGGCCATGCATCTTATTTTCGAAATCGCAATGTAATAGAGGCGTCCTGCCCACAAAACAGCCTGCCACTTTTATCACCTCCCCACATACCCACTTCTGTGTTGACTTTTCATGCTAATATGCTTGGGGTGGGGGCAGGCAGGAAGAGCTGGGGTCAGTGCTAGGGGCGGGGGGCCATGGAGATAATCAGGTACCAGCTGCTTTGGAAGATCTCTCCATTTTAAAATACCACAGCCAACAGGGCCTCCAGTTCAGTCACCTGGACAGGACGGGGTCTTGTAGATGTCGCTGAAACGTCTCCGTGGGTCACAACCCAAATACAGGTGATCTCTTGGTCAAATACAGCTCACCTCTGGCTCAAATGTGCCCTGGCTATGGTGAAGGAACCCCATGTCTGGTCGTTTTACTTCTTGAAGCTTCAGTAAAAAGTGAGAAGAAAAAAAACCAGGAAGACAAACTGGTTCCACTGTAAGTTTACTTTTTAAGGCACACCGGTTTCTGCTAATCACCTCAAACAGCTGAAAACTAGCCCTATCGACATCGAGGCGTCTACTCATTGCCATGTTGATATGGGACATCGTGACACCAGTATTTACCAGCAGACCCCTAGGATGATGTGAAACATGATCAACGGGGACATGTGCCAGAGACTCGACTTCCACACCTGCAGCCCAAGGGGGGACCAGTGTTCGTGATGCTGGGAAGACAACAGCTGTGGTGCAGGGGACTTCTCTCCCATAATGTGGGTCGCCGAATCTTGGGATGGCTACTTGCAATGCAGTTTACTTTCCTCCAAGCCGGTCACTCAGAGAAAGCGATGTGGTAATTAACAAGAAGTGAGCATCCCCCACACGCAGCTGGACAGAAAGGGTTTTGTGCAGGTGTGTCACAGGCACTCAGCCTGGTGGATGATACCCCAAGCCTGTGGGCTCGATGGCCACCTAACAGCCTCATATGGGGCACCCAAGCCTCAGGTCAGAGCCCAGCTCCCCAGCCCACACGCAAACCTACTGAGAAGATGTTGGTGGCAGAGACAATAGCGGGAAAACCACAGACAAACCAGAAACCCTTTTGAATTGTTTCCATTTCCTCCCCAACTTGACTGTTTACTAGAAGTGACCATGACTTTATTTCCCCGCCTGACCTGTAAATGAAACTCAAAGCCAGCAGGGCCCAGCTAGCCATCACAGCATCTCCTAACTAAGCATCGTGCTGTGTGGAGCCAAATTCTACTGGGAAATGCATGGGGTTGCCATGAGTTTGAATGAATTGCCCAGGCGAGGTCTCTGTGCTGTTTGGAGGGCAGTGGGTTGGCGAGAGCAGCCATCGGATGGAAGCATGCACGGCTTGACCCTCTCTTTCGGTACAAGGCAGGGTGTTTCTAAAACGTGCACATTACTCTGAGAGCCCATGTGTGTGAGAGCAAGGCTTCTAAGAGGCAGGACATGGCAGGAAGTAACTGAAGCCACCTGCAGGGACACCGCTACCCCTCCTACCCGGTATCCAAGCCCAAGGCGGCAGGCATCACGGAGGCAGAGACAGTGCAGGGCAGGGCCCACAACTTCCCGTTCTGGCTGGTTTTCCAACTCTACAATGCTTCCGTTCCAGGAGCCAGAGCATGCCACCCTCTCCAACTCCGGAGTCGACCTGTCTGTCGGTGGTAGGGTTTCCATGAGTGGTTGGTAAAACAGAGGGTTGCTAACGGTGTGGGAGGCCCTGGGTCAGATGGACTGACAAAGTTGCCAAAACAAGGGGCTCAAACATAGCAACAACGGGGCTGAGGATGCACCGTTCATGTACAGTTGCCACGGTGTGGGAGGAGCTGACGTGATGGCAGCCACCACCACCACCATGGGTGACCACCGAGAGCCCTCCTGGCCAGTCCCTGAGCATAAAGTAGCATGAGCCCACCGAGGAGCACCAAATGGTGTGGGTGCAGGTGTGAGAGAGGTGGAAGGTTTGAGGAGCGCCCTCCGATAGGTTCTTAGTCCTTCTCAAAGGGAGCGTGGTTGATGGCCACCTTTCATTCTGCTCTCCCGCCTTGTCCTACCGCACTGCCGCGCACGCACGTAGGGACGTAAAGGAGGAGGTCAGCGGAGGGGACGAAGGAAAGGTAGGATTCTGAAAACCCAGGATCAGACACAGGGCACTATTCTTTTCTCATAAAAGGAAGAATTGAACCCAAACCTAATTTGCTTTGAAACTTAAACTGCAAAACACACGTCCTAAACATCATAGATCAAAATGTCACGGGTGTCCAAGACAGAAGCTAACATCACCGAGACAAATGGGCCGCGCAGCAGCCCTGGGGATGTTCAGAGACAGGCACAAGGCATCACAAGACTGGGTACCATTTGGGGTTAAGCGGGTTCACTCTATGAGCATCATTTCCCACCGAGTGGGCAGGGGAGGCAAATACACGGAACACATTCTTTTGGTAGCTTGATCTCCCTCTCAACTGTGAAGCAAAACAGAGAAGAGCCCAGCTTCATTTCATGCGCTTTGCAACATCTGAGTATGCGTGCACAATCTCCTGGTCGGCCGGACAGGTGTTTGTGAACTCATCCCTAGCGTAGGCATTGTTCAAGTATCTCCAGAGGCCAGTCATTTCGGGCGGAAATTCAAAATCTCTGTATCTCTTGGCCACGATCTGAAAATGAAGAGGAAATCGTCAGGAAAGGGGAAAACCCACGAAAGGAGGAGCCAAATCAGACAATCCATTCTTTGGAGGTAATCTATTCCCTTCCTCGAGACTGGATGCCACCTTACAGGCCTCAGGGCCACCCCGGGTCAGACTTGCACACCGTGGCATCTGGGAATAGAAAGGGGATCAACAAACCGGGCTCCACACCACCCTGTCCTACCAATTCATCACAGACGGGCTTTGTGATCCGCCGGTCTGGAGCAGCTCTGTGGTCTGGCTGCGCGCTCATGTGTGGTCCCAGCTTCCTCTTCGTGTGTTCCGTTGCTGTGCTATTTGGTGCACTGAGACCCAACACAGATCTTCAGGTGTGACGGGGCTAGTGAGCATCACTGAAAAGAACCATTTCCCTCCTTCCTTGCTGAGCCAGCCTGGGATGCATGATGGTTCAACTCAGTTTTTAAAAGTGCTCAGATCGATCCCCTTGCAGAGGGGTCTCGGGGAGGAGATGAGCCAGTCAGGGTGCGATGTTACAATGATGAGAAATACAACCTTCCTCTAGTTCCTAAAGGTTTCCTCCCCGCTCCCACTACCATGACTCGAATTCTATCTTGCAAGACTGGCTAGACCAGAGGAGGTACACTGGTACAGATAGGAACTGAAAATACAGGGAATCCAGGACGGATGAGCCCTATAGGACCAGTGGTGTGAGTGGCAAAACAGGGAGGGTAAAGGGAGAATGGGTAGGAAAGAGGGAACCGATTACATGGAACTGTGTGTGACCTCCTCCCTGGGGGACAGACAACCGAAAAGTGGATGAAGGGAGACGTCGGACAGGGCAAGATATGACAAAATACCCATTTCTAAACTATCAAGGGCTCATGCGGGAAGGGGAAGCGGGGAGGGAGGGGAAAAATGAGGACCTAATGTCGGGGGTATAAATGGAGAGAAAATGTTTTGAGAAACGATGTCCAAATGCGCTTTACACAATTGATGTGTGTATGGATTGGGATAACAGTTGTATGAGCCCCTAATAAAATGTTAAAAAAAAAAAAGTGCTCAGATCTAATCTCATGAAATTTCTGTTTTCATATCAAACAACAAAACAGTTTCCATTGAGGTAACGGCAACTCGTGGTGCACCTCCTTCTGTGTGTCAGAGTAGAAGGGGCTCCTCAGGGGCTCCGTGGCTTTGACCTTATCAAAGCAGATCACCAGGCCTCTCTCCTGAGATGTCTGTGGTCAGTTGAATTATGACGTTGGCAAAGAATACTGGAAGCATCCTCTTGAATTGCCAGAGAAGACCTTAACATTCCACACCTTATCACTGGTTTCCCCTTTGACCCATTTTAAACTTGCCCTATGGTTTATTGGTTTCTACTTTCTTTGGGATTGTAGTTTATCTTTCTTTGTGCTTTTTTTCCCCCCATTTCTTTTTCTTTATCAGGGGAGAGCGCGAACGGAGGCCCCCACTACCACAAATTATGCAGTCGAGTTTCCCACATTTGGGGAAATCGCAGGGGTCAGCACATCCGGAGTGCAATGGATAAGCCTCACCCTGGGAAAACCACCTGCGTGATCATGGTATCTCCCCTGCCAGGTATGTGCTTTGGTTACTGCTATGGTGGTGGTGGGTTTGCGTGTGTGTGGGTAGGGGGGGTATGCTATTCTTTATGTTAAATCCAGGTTAGATAAATCTATAGAGATGGCAAGTAGACTAATGGTTTCTTAAGAGTTGTGGCAGGGAAGGTTGAGGGAAATGGGGAGCTAATAATAATGAGCACAGGAGTGAAGAAAATGCTCGAAAATTGTGGTGATGATTGCGCAACTCTTTTTAACGTGTCAAAACCACTGAATTGCATAATATGTGAATCATATGTCAATAAAACTATTTAAAAACAGGGCTTATTATATCACTTATCTGTTAGTTTGTCAAATGGGGGTTGCTTGTGCATTGTTCTCATACTAGAAGCTATGCCACTGATACGTCAGATGTCAACAGGGTCACCCCACGGTGGACAGATTTCAGCAGCGCTTCCAGACTAAGACCACTAAGAGGAAGGACCGGTGATTTTACTTCTAAAAGAAAAAATGGCCAATGAAACTCTTCTTACTCACAGTAGAACGTGTTATCTGCTACAGTGCTGAAAGCTGGGCCCTGCTGATAAAAAGGCACTCAGAATACAACTCCTGGAAAGCTGCCTCGTCAAAAGTCAGCCTGACAGACATGGAGGGACTCACATGTTGGGGCCCGCCCCTGCTGATGTGGTGCAGCTCACAGTGAGAACAGACAGCCGAACTGCCCACCGGCAATCAGAATGTGGGGTGGACAGAGAGAGAATGCATCTAGGGAGACTGGACGTTGTGGACAATGGGATGAAATGCAGAAAGAACTACACCCGAGGCATCCATGCACTGAAAGGACTGGTATTGGCCACTGTGACTCCGTCCTCCGTCCCCTACTCAGTGGGGCATGAAGGACAGCCCTGGACCTTCAGCAAACAGAACTTTCAAGACCTGTCTCACTGGTGGTGAGGCGCCGTCGAGTTGGTTCGCGTGATCTGAAGGACAACAGAAAGAAACACTGCCCCGTGCGGCGCCATCCTCACATTGCTCAGTTTGAGCCACAGTTGCAGCCACTGTGTCACTCCAGCTTGTTGGGGGTCTTCCTCGTTTTTTTGCTGACCCTCAACTTTACCAAGCAGGATGGCCTTTTCGAGAGACTGGTCTCTCGTGACAACATGTGCAGAGTCTGTGCCAACCATAGGATTATGTTCACACAACTGCAAGGAAGACCAGTTAATGTGACTGTCACTCAAATGTACAAACCCTAATGACAAGGATAAAGAAATAGAAGAATTTTACCAACTTCAGCTTAAACTTGATCAAGTCTGCAGATTAAGATGTTTTATAAGCATTAGTGGTTGGAATGAATGTGCTGGAGACAAAGAAGAAGGATCCTTAGTTGGGAAATATGTCCTTAGTGATAAGCATGATGGTGGAGTTACAGGGCAGAATTTCCCCAGGCCAGTGATTTATTCAGTGCATATCCTCCTTTTTCCAACAACACAAATGGTGGCTATCCACATGGCCCTCACCAGATGGCACACAGAGGAATCAGATTGATCATATGACGGAAGGAGATGGCAGAAGCCCTCAGTTGGATCAGTCTAAACACGGCCAGGAGCTGGCTTAGAATATAGGCAAGCTCAAGTGGATGCGGAACAATGTTACAACAATTCCATGAGAGCCGATGTATGACCAAGAGTCTATCCCACCCAGGGCTAACAGGCCATCTCAAGAACAGACTTGATGCATTCCGCATGACTGCCCAAAGGTCGGACAAGCTGTAGGCTGCCCTCCAGGTTTCATACATGGAAAAGGCCACTGGACAGTTAGGAAGGGAGAAAAGATCAAAAACAGAGGTCAGAAGAGACTCAGAAACGGGAGGCGCTAAAGCACAAGGGAAGGGGCGATGAGATAAAAAGGGCAGAACAAGAAAGTGGTGCGTGCCGGCGAGAAGGCAAAGCAGGCACTATCATGAAATCTGCAAGCCCCGGAGCTGGGAACCAAAGAGCAAAGGCCTGCACGGCATGTCCTAAGCTGAAAGAACTGAAGAGAAAACGCAAGCCTCGCGGGCGGCAACCTCGGTGCATTCCCCGGACCAAGTCTGGAAGGGCTTAGGATGTGTTACAAACACTGACTGTACCCAAAGCACTTGGCTGGCATGTGTTTCCCATGAGTAAGGAGCAACAACATTGTAGGAGGAAGTCCAACCTGAACTCAAGGCCCCAAGGCAGGAGCCAAAGTCAGGGCCGCAGGTACTAAGAGAATACAAATGGATGAGACGTCTCAGCACATGGATGCAACACTGGACTTGCTCGCTAACCTAGGTCAAGAAATTTGGAAGCTATTTCCCGGTCAGCCATCTAGAAGAGATCCATTACACAGAAGAGATCCATTACACAGCCGTCTAGAAGAGATCCACTACATTGATCAACAGAGTGTGGAAATTATTCGATAACATCACATGCAAGTAAAATTTTTCTGAAGTCAATTAAAAAGAACAAAACGTTTTGTAGCAGTACATCGAATGACAGGCAGCTGCCGGGAGAGGATATGAAATAAGGGACATTGTTGTTGATGTCAGGTGACTCTTGGCTGAAGGCAGAGCATACCAGAAAGCTGGTTACCTGTGCTTTACTGACTATGCAAAGGCATTTGACGATGTGGATCCCAACACACTTTGATAACATGTCAAAGCCTGGGGATTACAGAACACTATGCTCACGGACAACCTGTATGTAGACCAAGAGGTAGTCACGGGGGTCCTGCCTGGGTTAAAATCAGAAAGGGTGTGCACCACAGGGGTGTGGTTTTCCCGTACTTATTCCATCTGTCTGCTGAGCGAGCAGTCTGAGAAAAGGGACTAGCTGCAGAACGCGCAGTCAGGATCGCAGGAAGACTCACTGACAACCTTCCAACATGCTGATGGCATCTCCTTCCTTGCGGAGAGCCAGGACTTAAAGCACTTGTCGAAGAAGATCAAAGACTACAGCCTTTAGGACATACTTCACCTCAACATAAAGAAAACAAAAATCCTCACAACTGGACCAATAGGTACCATCATGGGAAGCAGAGAAAAGCTCATCTTACTGGGATCCACGAGCATTGCTCATGGAAGCACCAGTCCAGAGATTCCAGGATGAGTAAATGTATGACAAATCTATTCCCTCGGGCCAATCTCACTCAAGACTTGTTTAAAGTGTTCAAGAGGAGACAGGTCCCTTGAGGGCTGAGGCGTGCCTGGCCCAATCCTTGCTAGTTGAGATCCCCTCCCACGCAGGGGAAAGCCGGGCGCAGAGCGAGGACGAGCAGAGAAGAGGGGCGCATCTGAGTGACGACGATGACAAACAATGCAGACTATAACACGGACAGTCAGGAGGACAAACGTCATTCTCGGGAAGAAGAAGTATAGCCAGAACGTTCCTGAGAAGCTGGGGGGTTGAGACTTAGTCTTGCATATTTTGCACACATCCTCAGGTGGGACCAGCCCTCCTGTGGAAAGACATCCTGCTTGGTAAGAGGGTCCTCACAGAGAGGGCCTGATGCCATGGTGTTCACAGTGCGTCCAACAAAGGCTGATGGTGAGGCTGACGGGGCACCGAGCGAGCCCTCGGCCTGCTGTACACAGAGCCGTCACGAGGCACGTCTGCCTTGACGGCACTTCACAGACATAGAGGTTACTGCTCAGATTTGGGGGGCGGGGAGGGGGGGCATCATGGATCGATGACCATCAGAAGTACGACAAGAGAGACTAAATCACAACAAAACTCCAGAAACGTCCCGTTGGAAAGTGCCCCTCAGGGTGCACGGGGTGACATGCTTTCAGGGTGTTTTCGATGCAAGGGCCTCGGCCAAGGGACCACAGAGAACAATTGCTGGCGGGACCCGGACCCCCAGCATCACAGCCACCCTGTCACGGCAGCAGGATGAGCCGGGGGCTGGGTGTCACGGAGGGCGTCTTTAAGCCCACGGTCTGGAAAGACGGGGCACCACGTCTGGCCGAGGCATGGCCCGCCGCTGTGAAGAAGTAAAGCTGGAGCTGACGGGACACAGCTCGGTCATCTCCACAAGAGGCGTCTGTGGACTCTGAAGGTGCACCCCCACCCACCCCCGTGGGCTGTGCCAACGGGTGAAGCCCCCAGAATCCACACATTAAATGCCCTACAGGACCTGGAGCTGTTTTGCCTGGCTTTGCCCAAGGCTGGGGGTAAAGCAGGGAGGCTGAGAGCAAACTCTGGGGCCAAGTTCCTAGAGACCTCCGGGCGCCCTTCCTCTGCGTATCTGCAACAGGGGCCTGTGGCTTGGCTGCCACGCCAAGAAAGGACTGAGCCGGTTTCTCACTCGATAATCTACCTCTCGATGTCTGGCTGAGACCCGACTGAAGACACACCGCACAGAGCCCCATTCCCGCTGTCGCACGGGCGCGGCGGAGAGGCCAACCTTAATAATGTGGAGCTTGGGTAAGAGATTGCAGTCGGCCAAGGTGAGCTCATCCCCGTCCAGGAACGTCCGCCCCGAGACGGGCATGTCCTCGGGGCTGTCGGTGTCGATCTCATCAGGCAGAGGGCTGCTCAGGTAGGTGTCCAGCCGCTTCAGGGCCCGGAGCAGGTTTTTTTCATAAACTGAAACAGAAAAGCAAAGCCTGGTCTGAGCAGTGCCACGCAGGGCAGAGGCTGGGGGAAGGGCTGGGTGCCCTCCCTTGGTGGGAGCTGGGCGGGCAGCAGCTGGGCTGGAGGAAGGGTGGGTGTGGGTTCCGGAGCGCTGAAGAAAGGACCCACTCCTCACTGGGAAAAGGAGTCTACTGACTCCACAGGGTCACTACTGACGTCTAGGACTCGTGTGCAGCTTCTAAACGATTCTCCTGACATGCTAAAATGTGGGAGGCACAGGTGGACACGGTGTTGGAAAGGGTTCGAGGGTGCTGTTGGGGACACCCAGACAGTGCTCATTTCTCCCCCACAAAATGCCACATCCCAGTTTCTCATCTGCAGCAGCAGCAGCACCCAGCCTGAAGGCCACACACAGACCTGAGGCCAGAGGTGCTTTCAGACTTCTGGACACGCCGCTTAACGAACATGAACTAGGAAAGTGGTGTACGGTGGCCCGGCTCTGGGCAGCCCCCCAGAGAGGCCTGTGCTCCCTCCCGTTTCACAGCAGATGAGTTTTGGGAGAAGATCACCAGGCTTTTCTTCCAAGGTGCCTCTGGGTGGGTTTAACCCCCCAACCTTACAGTCGGGAGCCCCAACACTGAGAGAGTGCATTCATGAACGGCCGCAGTGGCTGGAATCTGCTCCTTATGGCCCCTTTGCATACCCAGGGATTCAGACTCCCCTCCAACCCCCCGGAGAAAAGAGCCCGGATTTCTGCAGCCCCCCACTAGGGGCTCACTGGAAATCCCGTCTGAGAAGAGAAGACGGGGTGGAGGGGCGGTACTCACTGTCGCTGGCGTCCTTCTTGGTGTTTTTGATAAATGCAGAGAATTTGGCAAACACGTCATTTCCTGCCGAGTTAGACTCTGGGTGCTGGGTGCTCAGTTTAGGATACCTGGAAACATCCCAATGGGAACTGTCACAGAGAAGCCGTGAGGGCACAACAGGGAGATGCCCAGGTTCAATCCCCAGCCAGTGCACCTCACTGTCTGTGGAGGCTCACGTGTTGCTGGGATGACCCTGAATAGGTTTTTAAGCTGAGCTTTCAGGCTACAGCAGACTAGGCAGAAAGGCCTGGTGATCCACTTCTGAGAACCAGCCAATCTGTGCAATCTAATTAGGCATGAGGTCACCCTGGGGGGGGGGGGGCAAGGGGGGCAAGGCAATCTGACCGAAGGTGACAACAGTTTGGACGTGGAAATGCCCCCCTGAACGCTTTTCGAAGTTTATGTCTCTCTTCGAGCTCAGAAGGAACGGTCTAAAAGGCACAGTGCGCTGCACCAAGGGCCGCTTGGCCACAGGGGCCATTCTGCATTCAGGGGCCCCTGGTCACGTGAAGGAGGTGCGCTGGGTCGCCTTCCAAGAACACCCTCCCAATGCTGCTGTACCCTAACACAGTCACTTAGTGCTTGGCTTTCTGTGGGGGGCCCACACTAACACCTGTGGCGTGTGATTGGCTCCGACTCACAGCAGCTGGGGTCGAACTGTGCTCCACGGGCCTTTCAGGGGTTGCTGTCTCAGAATTAGATCACCAGCCTTTCTTCTGAGGTGCCCAGGAGTGGACTCAAACCTTCGACCTTAGGTCGTCACTAGACTGTGTTGACCATTTGCTGCGCTCAGGGCTCTAGCATGCCTCAGAAACGGCTAGTTCACAGGGCACCAGCCCAGCTCCTCCCCACTTCCTGGCCCCAGACTCCTGTCAACCTGTAGGTGCAGAGCGACAAAATCCAGGCCACTTTCCCTCGTGTTGGCTCCTCTTACACCGTGTGCTTTCTGCGGTTCCTCGCTGCCGTGGCTGAGGAAGCCATGCGTGGGCCCCAGGAAACGGAGCACGCGCAGCAGCCAGACATGCCACACTGGTCTTTCAAGGGAAGCAAGTTGTGAGCGGTGGTTTTAGGAGGCCTACCTTGGGGGCGCTAACTTCTCCTCCAAGAACTCCTCGATCTTATTCACATCTGTCTTGACCTCGCCGTCAAAAGTCATAAAAGGGGGGTTGGTCCCAGGGGCCAGGTTCTGCAGGTCCGCCGGCTTCCTGGGTGGGCATGAGGGGCAATGCTTGTGGACACTGAGCCGTGGCCTCCCCATCTTAAGAGAAACAGCCCCAAGACTTTCAGAGTGGGTGGGTTTACACCAACTGGCAATGGAAGGAAAGGCATCCGGCAAGCCTACAGCTGGGTTCTCTGCTGTGTGGGACATCAAGGGGGGTGGGGGGGCAGCTCCCAGGGTTCTCAGTCGGGAGAGCAGGGACAGCAGCCTGCTGTGAGGCCCTGGCCACACTGTAATGATGCTTTGGTCCCCCATGGGGGCTTCCATTCAGGCTCCGGGCCAAGAAGGGGCATCTTGCCAGGGTACAGCCCAGGGGTCCCAGGGGTGTGTGGGAGTGTGTTCACACACATGAATGTGCATCTGGGTCATTAGGGGGCAGCAGGAGGTGTGCATCCATCGGGACATGTAGTGTGTACACATGTACATGTGGGGTATGCATGAGTGTGTGTGGCATGTGCGTGTGTGCTTGTGTGTGAAGGCAATATGTGAGCGTGTGTACATGTGGAATGAAACAAATGTGTGTGGTGTGTGCACGCTGGTGTGTGTAGATGTGAATGTGCTGAGTGCACGAGCATGCGCGGATAGGGGTGGGTGTGTAGGCAATTAGGGACCCAGTGCATTCCATAGCATGGAAACCTCACCTTACCTTTTCAAGTCCACCGTGGTGACATTAAATATAACTCCCTTGAGCCAGAGAATCATAAAGAGGCGCTGAGAAAACGGGCAGTTCCCAATGCTCTCGCCGTCGGAACCAGCCTGCGAGTTAACAAACGTTTCCAGCTGAGCCAGTCATGCAAAGACAGAGGCCAGTTTGCACTAGTCACTACGCTGCAAGTGAACATCTGAAGTCAGCTTCCTCAGCCTCTTGGGGGGCACAGGGGTTCCCTGCTCTGCTTCTAGCCCATGGCCCAGAGGTGGGAACCCATGTGCAGCTCCCGGGGAGGGGCATCTGCTGTGTGGGGGCTGCAGCCCCGGGGGAGGCCTCGTGGGGAGGAGCTGCTCTCTCCACAGGGTCCCTCCTGACAATGGCCAGGAGGTGGGTGTGGGCTGAGGGGGTGTTGAGGGAAAGGGTGGGTGAGGTGTGTGTGCATGTGTGTGTCTCTTTCACACCCACACACTGAGCCTTTTCTTTCTTCCTCCTCACAACCTCACCACTTCCTGGTGCTCAGCTAGGCCTTTAAGTAGCAAGAAGGACCCTCTTTTCTTACCAAAGGCCCATAAAGACAGGAGAAGAAATGCTCTTTCCCGCCCCCTCTCTCGATCCTGTCCCGAAGCACCAGCTTCTCTCCCCAGATGGTCTTGTTTAGAACAAACCAGCAAGCCCCCCTGTCTCTGGTCACTGACGGGGCTCCCCCCGCCCCCTTGCAGGGTGAGGAGGACGGAGGAGAGTAGTTCCACGAGCTCTGGGCCCCACTGTACACTTAAACTTCTCTGCTCGGATGCTGTGAAGATACGTTGAAGTCTAGGCTCCCTGGGAATGTGCCCTTGCCCAGAAGCCGCGCCTTTAAGGATGTTATCAGTGAACGGAGGTCATGCTGGAATAGTGGGCGACCAAACCCAGGATCAGCCATGCCCTCACACGAGAGAAAAGACACAGAGGCAGTAAGACAGGAGGGGTGGGTGGGGAGGAAGATGGCAGATCAAAGGGATGCATCTCCATGTCAGGCCTCCCCAGAAGCCCCCTCAGATTCTCCTGCAGGGCCCTCCAAGTAACCCACAGCCCCCAGGCTGCTCTCAGACCCCAGCCTCCAGGAGGGTGAGGTCACACGCTCCCTTTGTGCTGTGTGCTATGACCAGGATGCCCTTGGAGCCGCAGCCCCCAGCAAGCAGAGCGGTGGAGGCAGAGTGGACAAAGGGAATTCCAAACTCTTCTCTCTCATCCTGAATAGCCCCAGCTGTGGACCGCTGGTGCTAACAAAATGCTACCAACCGGCAAGGAGGTGGCTCTGCCTGCCACACCTCATGACATGAAAGGGTGCACTGGGCACCCGAAGTCCATTTCCACTACAGAGGACCACTCTCCTTGTGTCCCCTGAACAGAAGCCCATGCAGCCAAGAGGGCACTGCTGCCTTGGGGACTGAAGAATGGGGGGAGGATGGCTCAGGGAACAGGGGACCAGCAGAGAGCTGTCTCTCTGTCCTTCTCGTTCTTTTGCGTCACCCCCAGAGGCTGTGACCGACAGATATTCTCACAAATGTGCAGCGTGGGAAACGGACAGTCCAACTCTAAAGGGACTTGCCACCGTGAAAGAGGAAATCCCAGTGGCCAATAAGCACGAGAAAAGTTTCTCCACATCATTAGTCAGCAGGATGATGCAAATTTACAACCATAGGGAGATGTCACCGCATTGCTACTCAAAACAAACAACAACAACAAAACCCAAACTCACTGCCACGGACCCTTTGCTGACTCATCTCAACCCTACAGGACAAGGTAGAACTGCCCCCGTGAGTTTCCAAGACTGGAACTGTGTACCGGAGTAGAAAGCCCCATCTTTTCCCCGAGCGGCAGCTCGTAGTTTCAAACTGCTGACCTTGTGGTGACAGCAGCCCAACATGTAACCGCTCTACCACCAGCATACCTACTACAATGGCTGAATTAAAAGCCCTGACAACACCAAGTGTGGGCAAGAAGACAGAACAGGTGAAATTCTCCTGGGTAGCTGGCGAAAGTGTCCAATAGTACAGCTACTTCGAAAACTGTTTAGCAATTCTTTGCTGAAGCTAATACACACTGATCCCATGCCTCAGAAACGCTACTCCCAACAGACACGGTTGCTTACAGGCACCAAAAGGGACTTCCACGAGTGCTCCCAGCAGCGTTAGTGCAAGAGCCCACACCTTGAGACCCCCCAAACAGCCATCGAGACTAATAAGATAAAGAAACAAGTTGTTAAGCTCCGGCGGTACTGTTGGGTATAGGTGGGCAGTTCAAATCCACCACCCACTCCATGGGGAGAAAGATGAGACCATCTATCGGCTCCTGTACAGATTGACAGCCGTGGGAACCCTGCACAGGGTCATTAGGCAACAGATCCAACTCGTTGGCAGTGGGTTTGGCTTATATATTCGTAAGGAAGGATTGATACCACACCACAATGGGAAACAACTCACGGCCACTCCTTCTCCCGAAAGCCTAGGTAATGCTGAAAGGCGGAGCCCCAGGGTGCAATGAGCAAGTGCTCGGCTGCTAACCAAAAGGTCCGTGGGTTGAAGCCCTCAGCAGTCCTGCAGATCAGCTCTGGTAAAGATCGCAGCCTAGAACCTAGAAAGCGTCCCGGGCAATTCCATTCTGCTGCATGGGAGGCGCTATGAGTCAGAAATCAGCATCAGTGCCGAAAGAACCCAGACCCAGAGTCTGGTTTAATCCACTGCAACAAGTGTACATCAAATGCAAGCCAACCTTTCAGGGTGATGGGGGTCTGCAAGCACAGAGGCTGCCCGGGCAGAAGGGTGGTGGCTGGAGTGGGCAGTGCAGATGTTCCTGAGTGGAGGGGACCCAGAGGCGCTTGATGGACAGACCCTGAAGGTGCGAGCACTTTATTGTGCTCAATAAAAAAGAAAGTTAACAATGCTTCTAAGGCAGAGTCCCCTTCCGGGGTTCCCAACCAGGAATCTGAATCTTATGCAGTTCCCCCACAGAGAGCTGATATCAGGGGTCAAGTACCCCGCCTGGAGCAGCAGGACCTTCAGCCACCTTGGGCAAAGGGCAAGCCTGGCTCACTGTCGTCGTCCGTTCTCACCTGGACCTGTGTGGGCCCCAAGTTGAACGATGGGCCAATGAGAGGGTTTGCAGGATGCCGCAATTGACAAACACAGCTCCATGAAGGCGGAGACGGTGGACAGACATGCCCCCCCCCCCCAGGCTCTGTACCCTAGGCATTGCTGTTCAAGGGCAGAATTCTCGCCGGGCCAACGCATCTCAATTACCCCATCTGCAGCTAGCGGTGGTGGCATGCGTGGTGCTGAATCAGGCAGCACTTGTTTCACCTGGGCATGGGATCACTATGTGTCCAGGCCGACTGGGGGGCAGCTAGCGGGCAGCTCTGCGCCCACACTTCCTGCCACCCCTACCCTCTGGCCCCTCCAACTCCCCCTTCCTCACTCAGGCATTGATCCGCTTCTCCATTTACTAACGGGGAGGGTTCTGTGATGCCCCCTGGCAGGAGCCTGCACAGTTATCAGGTAGTGGAAGGGGGAGACGCAGACAACAGGTCCAACATCCCAGTGGTCGGAACCACTGCCCGGCAGATGGCCCTGACACCGCTCCGTCCTCCCCACATAGGCCAGCTCCCACTTTAGGGTTCCATCCCCTGCTGGCCCCGGACGCTGAGCCATTTTGAAACCAGACCCGTGGACATCCTTCGCAGGTCTGTGCAGTTCACACCCAGGCCGCTTCCTTGCTGGTGCCAATGCCTTCCTCCCCAGTCCCTTGCTCTGGAGTGAAAAAAGAGCAGACCTGAATGAAAGCAAGAAGGCTTGGGAACCCTCAAGTCTGGGTCTTTCTCAACCTCTGCAGGTTTGGGCAAACGTCAGGCCAAGAAAGGGGGAGATGAAAGCACAGGGGCACGAAGCCACCTATCTCAGCTAGTCCCGACTTGCCCCGCGGCCGTGAAAGGCCCTGTGTTCACAGCAGTTACACTAAGCACAGTAAAGTCTAGAGTCGGCCCCCCGAGAGCTGCCGTGATGGTTTATCTCCTGCTTCCACTTGTGCTTGGCCCTCTAACCTTTGGGGCCTGATACACTGCAGTCTGCAGGTGGCCAGGTCCCCCACCCCAGCCCCAGCCAGAGTCCTGACGAGGTTCCTCCTGGACAAAGAGCTCTTCTGGGATCATCCCCCACTGGGCCGGAGTAGCTACTAGTCTGCACCAGGCTCTAGGCCTGGCTCTGTGTCTGGGACAGTCTCAGCGTGGTGTTACCCCCAACAGCCTTCTTCTAACCATTGCCCGATGCCTACCAGACAATTCAAGGCAGAGGGGAGCAGTCCATGAAAAAACAAGACCACCCCCCAAATTATAAAAGCTGGCCTTTGTCATCAGACCCTGAGAAGCCTTCCAACCTCTTCTCAGGCTCCTTTCCCTGGGCCGCAGCTGGGGCGGAGCATCTGTGCAGAGGAGGGGGCTCCTCCAGTGGCCTGGCCACAGGGCCCACAGCTCGGAAAGCAGTCTGGAAGGCTTCTATCGTGCACCCTCCACTGTGTGGCCTGACCCCTGAAGTGGCCCATCCGGCTTCAGCTTGGCAATTGGACCGAAGGCCACTGGGCCTCGCAGAAGAACGAGCCAGGCTGGCTACCCACCCCACCCCCAATGACCCATAAAGTGGGATTTGCAGACCCAGAGTTGCCTCATCTCAAATTGCCCTACTAAATGCTCTGCCTCTGAGGATGTGGGGAGGGTCACAGTGACGAGGACGCCTTCTGCCCGTTTTACGACTTCCTTGTGCTTGGGCGCGAGGACGTGCCCGCTGGAGCGAGGGCTCGGGCACAGCGTCTCGGCAGCCTGCAATTGGGCAACGACGGAGCCGCCGCCTCAGTCAGATTCATGAGCCAGCCGAGATGAAGGGATCCACGCTCGTCTATTAGGAGGGCATACTGACACCGTCCTGTAATTGGGGCGATCGGCTGTATAAAGTGTCATTCCCCCATTGCCGGCCATTATCTCAAGCTAATTAGATGCTGCGCTAAAATCCAATTTCTCAGCCGAGTTCTCAGTCCGTGGGAGGCGGCGGGAGGAGGGGAGCATTTCCTACGCAGATTC